ATGAAGAAATGTAAGATATATGTAGACTGCATAAAAAAGAATAAGGATATCGTCCTACAGCGCTTGAACGAATAGAATATACATGTAGACTATACATATATATAAAGAATAAACATATCGTCCTACAATACATGAAGAAATGTAAGATATATGTGGACTTTATATATAAAGAAATATAAAATTATCGTGGTTTAACAAATTCAATAAACAAAATTTTTTAAAAAACCATAATAGCTATAAAATTATCATCTATTTTTGTGTCTTTTAGCTGAATGAAACCACATCTGATTTTAATTTTAGGTAAGTATCTATTTTAGATCCAGCAATATATTTATGACGTTAGAGTTTATTAAAAATAACTTACTGATTGACATTTAAAATCCGAATTGTCATTTAAAGACAAAATCCTAAATACTCTTCATCATTTTTCTTTTTTTAATTCAAGCAGCTGTACATACAACACTTATTCACTATAAACGTTGCCATCTTACCAATACTGAAGCCTGTGGCATCATAGCGTGGTGGTCTCCAATGTGCTGATGATGATGTGCGAAGTTTCCAGTCAAAGTCACCGTCATCTTCTACGTTGTGCCATGGACATTCAGTAGTTCCCAGTCCCTTTTGAAAATCACATCTTTTGACTGAACGAAAAAGGAATCGAAAGTTAAACAGCCATGTTAGTTGTTATAGAATATAGAAAAAGTCTGAAATGCATTTGTAGGGAGCCAAAACACACCACACAAGATGATGGGTTTTAACTGCAAAAAATCTTGTGTAAATTGTACACAAAAATTTTAGTAAAATGTGTATCCACAGTGTCACAAACAGTAGTGAACACACTACATACAACTATTGGTAAATTTACATAACAACAATGTATCCACTGAACGCAATATTTTGAGTTAAAGAATGAATTACACATCTTGTGGGTAATTGTATTAAAATAATTACTAGTAAATGTACACACAGAGAACGCATTTACAGCAACACAGGTTTTAGAGTAAAATTTCTATTAAAACACACTTATAAATACGTAAACAGAGATAGTCCCTTATTGTGTAGAAAATTACATTGATCAATTACACATGTATACCACTAGACCAATAATATATTGATAGTCGAAATACTGACTAGCTGACAGCGTCATGCAGTATATACGGCGGTAGTCAAAGTAAAGATAACATGTATCGATTATATTTGTGGATTACTGGGTTTTTGAGATCTCGTGAAAATATTTTTTCCGTACGGATCTCCCATCCGGTAAATAAAATATATTTTATGAGTTAACTTAAAAATTAATTTCATTACATTTATCACAAAACTTTGTAAGACTTGACTTAATTGCCCAACTCTTCACCTTAACGCACTGCTCTACATGATTTTGTGTGTAACAATTTACTAAAAAATGAGCAAATTGTTTACTCAAAGAAATATGTGTATTTTCAACACAAAAAATCGTGTAAACGATTGACAGAACTTAAAATTCTGAGTTAAATGAGATGATTTACGCTAATTATTGCGTAAATTTTATGCAAATTTACACAAAACTTAATGCAGTCTATGCAACATTATGTTTCACAGCAGGTTTAAAAGCTAAAAGCACCGAACTTATTAATATGAAATGATTTTACTTTTTTAATCAATTAACAATTCTTGTTTGTATTTTGTCAACGTTTGCTGAAAGTTCAGCAAAAAAACTCGAAATTGTGTAAAAAAATTCCAGTCTCTGAAGTAGTGGATACACAGATAACTTTAATGTTCACTAAATCTATCATGAATTTTACCAAACAACTTATTGATAATCCATACAATGTGTAACCGTACTATCTGTGTCCCAAGTGCAGTAGTCCCTATTTTACAACGGTGATAGCCGGGAGGGCACATTGTTGTACACTTTTTATATATATATAAATATGTAAACATACGCACACTAAGCTTATATAGATTTATTAGCACTGAAGTGCACAATGTCAAAAATTACCTTTTATGCATTCTTTTTCACTTACTGCACCAACATTGATGGTACCTTTACCATCATTACAGGTAAGACAACGAGTTTGTTTTCGGTATGGTTGATATGTATAGATGGGACATTTTTCACAATTCTTACTTTCAAACGAAAAGAATGAACCAATAGAACAATCTATAAAATAGATCATTGAATACAAAACATCGATTGGCAATTGACAGTTTACAGTTGATTTATTTATTGTATTCAATATTTCTTGTGTCATTATGTAATTATCTATGAGCCAAATGAAAAGTTAGAATATTTCCAAGAACATAAAAACAACAAGAGTGACCAAGCAAAACATTTCACACTTCAAGAAAACAAATACTTACCAAAAGCAGAGCTAGGAATGGCCACCCTTGGTATTGTGTCGCAGCTTCCTGGAGAAAAAGCAAGATTGTCGAGAGCTAGAAAGTCTCTTCTGTATCTACGCACGACAGCTTCAACGATTAACTAATAATAAAAAGTAAGTTGCATGGACAAATTTACAAAGTTTCAGAAAGTTTTATAAATATATACTAACCCTAGATAGACCCATGGTAAAATTAACTGTGACTTGGCCTTTTTTCCACTTAGCTCTTTGATCACCACTTAATGACCACAGTAAAAGATTGTCTCGATTGCGAAAATATTCTTGGTAAATATTCAATGTTCCAAAATAACTGGGATACATGAAATACGAAAATGAAAAACACACGAGAGAGTCGTTGCGATAATTTCCCACCAACCAAATTTTGCCTGTCGAAAGGCGTCTTATATAAAGCATATTTGAAAGATGTTGTCCATTACAAATGCACAGAATACAATGTAAGCATAATAAGGATATTGTAATTATTTCGATAAAAATACAAATAAGAAGATGACACAAGTTTTCATAAATTTAAAATAAAATTATTTGATAGCAGTAAAAAAATCAAGAAAAATTTGTTTCCTCAAAGATACTAACTTTTGGATTTTGCATATGGCAGTAGATAATTTATTACGTTGAAACAAATTTCAACGTTTCCTTTTGTTATGCTGCTAGCTACTTTTAGTGCTCTTGCTATAGATGTTGGAACAATCGTCTTTTTATTCGATACATCATGATAATTAAAGGCTCTTACAGACGAGCAAATTTTCTATGACAAAACTCTATGTTACAAGTTTTATACGCCCGTCTGTACGCGTCACTTTGCCATATTTTTCTGTGACAAATGCATTTGTTCAAAAGCTAGCATGCTAGCTTTTGAACAAATGCATTTGTCATAGGAAAATGGGCCAAATGACGAACTTTGTTCGTCTGTACGGCCAACAAAGGAAATATAACAAATGACGTGCCAGTGATGAACGAAGTCAGCGGAATTTTTCTGCGTACACAGTGTTGTGGCCACAAAGGTCTCTGTCTTAGCGGCCAACATGGCGGCAGCCAACAACGTGCGTTGGACTGATGTAGCCACAAGTCACCTCCTTGAGTTACTTAGAACAAGGGAGAGTTTGTGGAAGTTAAAATCAGAATGCTACAAAGACAGAAATAAAAAGAAAAAAGACTATCAAGAGATCCTGAACATAATCAAAGAGGAAGTCCCTGGTATCGATCTTTCTTACATCAAAGGTGGGTACACTTAGCGTTTACACAGTAATTGTATCAGCGATGTCACCATGAGCCTGTGCTTCGTTGTGTAGTTCAAAACGGTTACTACGGCATTCTAACTTATTGGAATCGTTGAACAGCCGACGATTGTTTACTTTGATTATCGCTGATTTTCCCGCGTATTCTCTTTGATATATGCTGTGCTATTATATCGTGAGCCACAACATTTGTCACACAAAATTTGTTGATGGGTACAGACGGTCAAAGAAAATATGCCACATGAAAAACTTGCCATAGAAATTTGCTGCACGTACACATGGACATTTGTCACAAAAAAATGGTAACATAGAGTTTTGTCATAGAAAATTTGTTCGTCTGTAATAGCCTTAAGTATATATCCTAGGACACCTGAATTTTCTTCAGATATTTTTACCATTAGTATGACCAAAGTCCTATTGCTTTGTTCAATAAGAAGTTGAAAGCCTGTAACGTAAGAGAGAAGTTCTAAGTGTTCTCAAATGGCCATTTATGTTGATATTCCTGAGAATGTACAACTTGTTAGTACTCAAGAAGCTACTTTGCTACTGGATCGATATTTATTTCCATCAAAATCGATCCTGTACGAGGTCACAAAAAATGTTAATGCTAAGTTGAAGAAGAGATTTAATGACAAGAACATTGTCATGATGAGAAGAAATAGCAATTACTGCTTTGTCCCACCGATTTTAAAACATTCATGCATGAAAAATCTTGCGGCTTTCGCTGACTCATTCAATGGCACAACTGTCAATCTCTTCTCTAAACGTTGCCATGCATATTAGGCACTTGCTATAAAGAACTTAAAAACAATACAGAAAAACAGAACAAACAAGAATATTCTTAAAGAAATTAAAAGAAGCATTATCTGAGCGTTGACTGTCTGCAGTTTGCTAGTGTGACATATCTGCAACTTAATTCAAAGAAATTTTCAGCTCAATTCAAAATCAGAGTAGTCATTTTTGAAAACAAAATCTCACTAAACGATCTCCATGTAATTCATCAATAAAGCCTCTCTACTATATAAAAAGACATCATACCAAAACTGAAGCCTTCCTTATTATAACGTCATCTTTTATATAGTGAACTCAGTCTTCAGTCAAAGTCATCATTACTCTCCACGCTGCTTCACAAACCTAAACTCTAAGTCATCCACATTCGAATTGGGCTTAGAACCGTCCGCACCTCACAATTTACAAGCGTAGTTACATTAAGTAACAACCAATATTTATCATCTTACGCCCCTTATAAAGCTATCCTAATCTCTCTTTACAAAAACTCGCTCAGTTTTGCAAACATGAAATCAGTTTCTTTTCTTGAAACTCGATATTTTGTCTCCTTGCACACAAACTAAAAGCTCTCGTGTTTCAGAACTTACCAAATGTTGAGGGGTGGCCGAGAATCCAGCCATTATCGACAATCCAGTTCCCATCATCAATTCCCTCAAAATTATACCATGGACATAAATTCGTACCCAGGCCATGTTCAAAGTCACAGACTTTAGAATCAACACTTGCTGTAAGTAAAAATGAGAGGAGTCAAGGAAGTTATTTTTAAATACAACATTGAAAAAAGAGTTTTTGTTTCATTCTGTTTCGTAAGACTGCTTTTCACTAGCTATGTAAGACAAAATTTGTGTAACCTTTAGCTACAACTTAATTGTGTCTTCACTGTAACAAGAATTCATACGATAATCACCAGGCCACCAAAATTGTCTGTTCTCAGTTCTTACTACGTAAGATTAATTTCCGGGCTTTAAAGAAATTTTTAAATTTTCTTGTATACATACGTCGCATGAAATATATTTAACAGAGGAGCTTGTTTAGAAAGAGAATAGGAACTTTATTTAAAAAGTGCAAAAATAAAAGCTTAGTTTGTAAAAGTTGGTCTTACCTTCGATCAAATAAATACATCGACTTTTTTATATTATTATGAAATACATACAATTTTTGCTGATATAAAAAAAACTTTCAATGTGAAAAGGTAAAGATTTTTTTAAGATTTCATACCTCGTGATAACGTAGTACTGACTAACAGGAAAAATGTCAAATCTATCATTGTAAGTGAGCTGCTGAAATGGAAATTGTGAAAAATATGTTTCATTTGAACGTCATTTTTTGAACTGCTTCTATGCCTATAGTCATCAAGGTTTTGATTACTTTATATATGGGACTTATAGTTTAGAGATCGTTTAATTTCTTCTTGCACCAGCCACAACATTTGCTTCAACATATCCGTGCGTTACCAAACCTGCATTAACACATTGTAAGCATTTTTTCTATCCAAGAACGAGTTTTATTATTTTAATGAATTTTGAAAAAATTCGAATATTCAAGCAGAAAAATTATAAAACAGCTAAGCTATCCATTACTAAAGTTGGCACATATTAATATGGCCACGTAAAAAACTATTTTCCGCCTGTAGGTTTTCGTCCGTACGCAGCTTACATTATGCTATCGAAAAAGCATCGATATGACACCATACACCATAACCGAGATAATTATCTTCGGGAATAGTCGGAAATACAAACGATGATGAAGAATATCGTTTTGTGCGTTTGTCTCTTTGTTCGGAAAAATATCGTAGCTTCTTTTGCTAACAATTTTTTATTGAATTCTGTGGATTGACTTACTCTAAATTTTGTGTGTTAAAGTTAATTAAAGTGAATATTTTATCATTAAGTAATTATGCTTGCTCAATTGTACTTTCTGATGGAAGATTTATGGTAAAATTGTACTGTGCGTAAGGTCAATCAAATAATGACAATGAATCCAAGGGCACATACATATCATACTATGAATGTAAAACATTGGCTATATTTCAATATCGAGTTTACGTTTTGCTGTTTTCGTGACGGGAACGCCATTGTATTGCAGCGTCCACGTACACAAAAAATTGGGTTTACGAATGACAGGCATTTGATGACGTCGACACCATTTGGCGCCAAATTTAAGTTAAATGTTTCCATAGTAAAAAAGGGAAATATTAAACAAGTTGAGAACAAAATACTAGGTATATTGAATAAATTTTGAACAAAAAAGCTGCCAAATTGGCGAAAAATCCGGGAACACCTTTTATATTGCCATAACCAGGGTTTGATTAACGACGAAGAGTTTCTTTTTTGTACGACTTGCATACGGCCAAAAGTCTTAACCTGCCATATTGGAAATACAGCGAATTTGATTTAGATAAACTGAGTGATGAAGAGTGCATAACTGAATTTCATTTTTTAAGAAACGTTATTTACCGTCTAATAATGTAAAAAGCTTCCACCCGAAATCCAGTGCTACAATAGGCTGAAAGTAGATCTCGTTGAGGCTTTGTGTATGGTACTAAGATGTTTTGCATAACTTTGCGTTACTTGGACATGATTCCTAGATTTGGCAGATCGTTCCCACAACTAGTCATGGTGAATAATACAGTAATGAATCACATTTATACAGAATAGCATCAATTGCTGTCAAATTTCAATCAGCCATTGTTATTTGTTGAGAAAGTATTGTGGAGGTGTGTGTCAGAATAGGGTGTGCTTTGCAAAACTGCTTCGGTTTCATTGATGGAACTGTTCGCCTAGTTTGTCGACCAGCACAAAACCAAAGAATTTGCATAAGTTGTTTCGTTTTTTGTTTACTTGCATCCTTATCTTCAACTGGTCTATTATTCACTGACTGAATCAAAATTGATTTGTATATCCATGCAAAAAAAGACTTAAGGAATTTATCAGTACATAAACTTATGAAAACTTCCATCAATGCTTCATTCCAACAAAAATATTGTAACCAGACACTTTTAATAAAAAATTTGTAAGCATTCCTTATAAACATTTTGTAAGCAATAAACATTTGGTTTTAAACTCTTAAAAGTTAACAGTTGAATCAGTTATTATTTTTAGCAAAGTTTTGCATTAATGTAAGAAGAGCAGCATTTTGGATTTGTATTTGTTGCATAAGCTGCTCTTGTTGTCTTTGCTGGTTGCCATAGCATTATTTAGAGCATTTGTCAAAGCTTACTGCTGGATTCTCCTTTCCTCAGCTTCAGCTTTTTCAATTTTCAATTCCTCTCTTTTGAGCTCTGCATCTACTTCAGCTTTTCCTTTCAAATATACAATAGTCTCACTGCCACTACAAGATACCTTTCTTTTAGGTTTCTCCCTTCATTGTTGGATTCAGCTTTTCTTTTTTGGCTAGCAGCTAATGTTTCCATGGATAAATTCCTCATTTCAACAGCTTTTGTTGTTTCCAACACAGCTTTTTCATTTTTGCCTGCTTCCTTTTAATCATCTTCTACGTCTTTGTTTTTGAACGCTCTATAATATCTTCTATATCTAACTTCAGTTTCACTGTGGTTTAGGGAAATTCCAGAAGCTTTTTCTTAGTTCTCTTAAGCCTTCCTTAGTTTTCTCTTTTGCTGTTTCTCAAGCAAGTTATAATGGTCAGGTACTGGTTTTGGGGTTACATTAAACTTTGGATTATCTAGGTCGTTTAATGAGTCGCTTATCTGTTCCCAGATCTTTCCTTTTTTTTGTGATCCCTTTCCATAATTCCATGGGTCTAGCAAATACATTTTTCGAATGAGTCGATCATTATGCTCATCTATCCAAGCCATAGGCTTCTTGCTGTTGGAGGGAAAAATTGAAATGTAAAACAATTTTCTCCAGAAGAAGTGAAGAACTTCAAAAGTGAAACATTAAACAACAAATGCATAACCAAACAAAGTTATACTAAGGATACAAACTTTGTTCTAGAGTTGATCGATTTGCTGTTTAGAAAATTTCCTCAAACACGCCTGATTTGCAGGAATTATATGATCATATAATTAATAAATTTGTATGCAAGACTTAAGCTACATCTACTTCTATATTTCCACTGTTGGATCGACAATTCGAGTTATTACACCGCATAAAATTCTCTGGTAATACCTCATGTTTAAAAGATTTCTTCCCACACAACCTTTAAAAAATTCGTAAAATTTACCTCTTCGTCTTTGTTAATTTTTCCGCCATTTTGAATTTTCAAGACGCCGTCATACTACAGCTTTTCACAGCGTCGCCTTCACGCAACGTGCCTAAACTTGACGCGCGCGTGCGCAGTATATAGCTTCAACGGTGGCGTCCTGGGATTCTACAATTCGTAAACTCTCTAATAATTGCACTGCGAAGTGTCTATTCGCGTACAAAGATAAAGCAGAAGTTTTTTGCAATCAGCAAAGAGGCGGTGCCCTAATCCTAAGAAAATGTTGTTATTTTGAGAAACATTAACTAAAAACATGAAGGCCCAAAAATTGGCTTGTATAGTTGTACAATATCCTTGTATTCTATAGTACAAACAATTAAAACATTACAAACCTTCATAAAAATTTTTTAAATAAAAGATATTGTTTAGTGACAATGACAAATATCAATTCTAAATCTTTCCAGCGAAGGGTTCAAGTAACTTGTACTTAGTAGTTACTATGTTGTACTGTCTTGTATATAGTCGAATTAAGTATTATATGAATTAATTAAAACTTACTCTGTTGACTGATACAGACTTACAATACTCTGCTGGTGATTTTAATCAACCGCAGAAAGCAAATGAACTTGTTTTGCAGTCGAATATTGTACGAAGTAAAAATATTATTTGTGTCGATTAACAATTTTATATGAAGTAAAATATGAGACGAGTTAAAGTGCCCTTCCATCAAAAGTTTTTTTTAGCAACATCAAATCTTATGTTTTTATGCCTCTTTGAGAAAAAAAATTTGAATTTGGTCAAATCGTTTGATTTTTGTAAAGCGTTAAATTCTCTAAAATCGTATATTCGTGTGAACCCTGTCCGTGATAATGAGGAGTCTGAAACTAGCTAATTTTCTAACGTCATCCAAGGTACTTGTGTTACACGAGTCGTCTATTCAATAGCTATCAAATCACTATTAATGTTTTTATGCAGTGCGGTAATTGAAATTTCATTCATACGACATTCCGTTCACGAGAAAACATGAGCCCAACAATATTGACCTGCTCACCACTGTGTGACTTCATAGCTCAGTTGGTCAGAGCACTGCACCGGCACCGCAGAGGTCATGGGTTCGAATCCCGTTGAGTCACCTGATTTTTTCAGGCCCTGAGACGATTGCTTAAATTGTCCAGCAAAGTGCGAAGATCATAACTTCATTTAAAATCACTATTGCTAAAGCACAGCTAAAGTCTATAAGAGTCTAAAAGCATTACCTTTGCACCAGTAAGAGCAGAAAAATGGTAAACAGTTGCGTTGCAGCCAATTGTACGAATAAATCAAGCCTTAGCTCTCGTCTTCACACTACGCCTTATAATTACAAAAGGAAAGAGGCTAAGCGAAGACGGAAGATTTGGGTTTTAAAGAAAAAAGAACGTATTTGAGAGTTCCAGTGCTTCAAAATTTTATTGGCTCACTTAAGCCAGAGAATTTGGAGCGTCAATTTAGTAGTTTAATTGCCGAATAAAAAGAACGCTATATTTCTAAGGCTTAAAAAAGATGAGATTCGAATTTGTGTCTTTCCGACCATCTAGTTTTATTGCCTTTCGAGTTTTCTATCACGTATCCCGGAATAAAGTTTTTGTCAGAGTTATCTAATTGAACACTTAATTCTGATTCCGATTCATTGCTTTCTTAGCAAGACATAATTTCCTCGAATATTATAATAAAACAGCGTAAAAGAACGCGTATGTTTAATATAAGCTAAATATGCCCGAATGCCGTCTACATTGGATGACGTCAAAATACCTTCTAGTGCCAGTTTCTTTTGTATTACAAAAAACGACGTCGATGGGCCAAAAATGCACAACTTCAAAACGCCATAAAAGCCTGTTGATTTGACCATATTCGAAAATTTTTTCTCGGAGAGGCTGAAAATCATAGACTGATTTGATATTGATAAAATAAAATTTCGGTGGAAGTGACACTTTAAACAATGAACAGAAAATACAAAAGACTTCAATCACTTGAATTATAGTGCTTGCAATATGAAAAGCATTTTCCTTCGAACATTGATTGACTTTTCTAGACTTCTCAACATGTGATTAGAATAAAGTAAAAATAAACAGGACGGCCCATTATATAAAAACACAACTGTCTATAATAATTATGTTGAGTACAATAATACAAACGTCAGTCTATATATGTAATCTAATAGATGTCATAAACGTGTTGATTTATTGGTTGTGTGAACAACAACACAGACATGCAGTAAAAATGTTTTGAAATTCAACTATAGCAAAAATGGTTTTCAGTGAAAAACCCTTTAGATGTCGCAAGACATCTAAGTAATATGACTTTCTTTGATGCACGCTTTGTGAGCACAATCACGTAACATGCAATATAAACTAGTGTTTTGAAAAAATGCAGAAACGTTAAACAGTTACACTGGGTTTTATAACTAAAAAAAATTTTCAAATCTTAAATTTTATTTTGAGATTTTCACTTTCATGCAACCATATGTGACGTATAAATGTGCTACAATTTTAGACACAAAATTTTTATAAGATAGCAGAGAAAACATTGTATTGTAATTACCAATATCAATGGTTCATCGAAATTGTACTGTTTACATTGAAATAATCAAACCACCTGCAAATTTGATTAAAATCAAGTAAATCATAATATTGCGAGAAAATGCAGCAGAAATTCAAAGTCAAAATATTTGAGTGCTGCAGTATAAAGTCATTTCTTATGGCTGCTGCACACAGTTTGATTCGGCTTTCATCATCAACTTCCTCAAGCAATGTTTGAAGGCATCAATATAACGCATGTGGTTTAAATTACAAAGAAATAAGTTAATTTATATGCACGCACAATATCTATAAAATTTATACTGGCATCAGTAAAATAAAATAAAACTGGAATGTTGAAATAGTGAATCTTGCAAAATCTTTGCACACTATTTGTACAACAATAGATTAAATTTCGAACAGATTTAACTTTGTTAGTCCTAAAGGATTAAATTTAACTTCCATGCAACTGTCGGTGATTTTGTGAACTTATGTTTGATAGCTGTAGTTTGAATTAGTTTGAATACAATTTCTTATGGCTACTGCTTTAAATAATAAATACTTTCACTGAATTTGATTCCGCTTTTCAACTTCCTCAAGCAGTGTTTGGAAGCATCAATTTCCTCAAGCAATGTTTGAAGGCATCAATACAGCGTATACGGTTTGAATTAAAAAAAAAGTAAATAATTTATGCACAATATCAATAACTTATATTAAAATCAGTAAACTAGAATAATGAAAAGTATCAGGAAACTAAAATAAAGAAACTTGCGAAAACTTTTCAGGCCAGTTGTACAATTATGGATTACATTTCGAACAGTATTGACTTCCTTAATCCAAAAGGATTAAATATAAGCTTTCATTTTAAACTAGTGCAGTATGAAGTGCAAAATTTGGCAAGCAGAGACAAAATATTGTAATTTATGTAAACCTATTTTATTCTTCAAAACATCGTCAAATTACAGCAAAAAAATTCACAACAACCGGATTATACAATTTATTAGACAATCATGATGTTGTGTATCAAAATGGTCAAGACAACTTTAAATACATTCTAACCTTGTGCTTGTATCTTTCAATATATAGCTCATTATCATCATCAACAAGGTTCCTATATTTTTCCTCACTTCTTTTTATCAATAACTTTATTCAATATTTAATACAGGCTCAAAATTCCCCAGTGAACTCTTTTCATTGCTTAATAGCGATAACCTCCAGCTGTTTTCAAAAATACTCCCGGAACTTTGCCCGTGATCTGTTAACACTGATGAAATAATTTATGTCAACTAGAATAAGTACGCCCTATGCACTATCGTGTCAGTCATGTGACTTTATGTAGCACTTATATTTGCATTTAACTATCTTATCTTTCTATTTCTCTTGCGCTTGCAAACGCATTGTTTTGAAAAATGCTTATTGCCTCGTTTTGGCAAATAGTAAATACATCGTTTTATTGGGATCCAGTTGATTAATAAGTTAACATGTTATGGGCCCAGGATGTGAAAATAAATAAGTAAATTTAGCGTTTTTCACAAAAGATGATTCAATAAGAATGGCGCTAGCTTCACCAAATGCTTTGAGTTCGAGTATAAACGGCGCAAAAAATCACTTATACCGTATAATTATATACAATCAATTAATACAAAGTTTGCGGCGCACGGTCTTTTACGATGTAATGGGGAAAGTTATTGTTTGTTTCTACGATTTAAGTGATTTTTTGGGCCGCCAATGGCTTGAGCGCAGAAAAAGTATAGATTACGGGAGTTCAATATCAGGCTGTATTTGGAGAGCATGTGGACATATTTGAATTCGTACAAGATAAGTAATCAAAGTCTTAGACAGAGGCCTTTCCACCCGTCTTTTGAACCGCATTTATGAAAGATGACTGGCAAAATTAAAATAAGTTAAAATAAACCTTAGAAATTTACCTCTGTAATACCAAAAGCCAAAAATGTGGTTTCATTTTTTTTCAAATATTTCGCATTACTTTTTGCGATGTATTATTAAAGCGGCGCATACAAACAAAAGGAAAGCATGTTAGCAAAACAAGGAAGTAAAATCAAAATGACTTTATCATAAAATAAAGTCATGCATGTAAGATATGACGGTCCACACAATTTCAACCAAATGCTCAAGACGCTCAACAAAATCAGCAACCCGACTGTTCGGCAGAATATTGGTCAATGTCTTGAAGTAGGGTTGAAGAATGTCGAACAGATGTTTAGAAAAGCATCTTGGGACTGTCATTCGTTTTATAACACCAACATCTGAGGTCAAAACTACTTATCTAAAATGTGTAAAGATATGCAACTCTAAAAACATCGCACTGCACGATGCAACCATGACGACACCATGATCATGGAACAACACAAAATCTCTGACCAGAAAATTGTTGGAGTTCAGGTCAGACGGGGCATCCGTTCTGGCGGAAGAAGTGGGAAAAGTTAATGCTCTATTGAAGAATAACAATCCTTTCTGCATTTATGTAAACCGCATTTGTACCGTTTTCACTTAGACATATCGCAAGCATGCAAGATCAATTAGGATATTGCAACGCATACAAGTAATTCCAAGTGAAATATACAACTATGTCTAAAGTTCCGCCTGTTGTCTATGGAAGAGTGTGTTTCGCTTTCTTATTCATTTTTTCCAGTCTCTATGACATTTAAGGTTGTATTAAAACTCATCAATTTTATAAACAACTTACTCACTTAAAATTTTTTTGTAATATTCCTCATCGTGACGTCCATAAGATATTATTTTCATTTTAAGTACACGATATTCATCGATTCCGGTTGTTACTTCTAATTGAATACGATTAGATTGAAAAACTGTTCCTTCCTACTCTGTGATTGGTCGAATTATTGGGCACAACTCACATGTGATCTGTCCTTTGTTCTTTTGCGTCGAGTTTCGTGGAAATTTTGTATAAACCATTTCAGACAAATTAAAATAATATCCTGGACGACATTCTGAAAACAAAGCGAGTTTATTGTTGATGTTGTCAACAACAGATCCATGAAATGCTGAGGATAAACACACCGTACATGATCTAATATACGCCCGGGGCGTTTGATAAATTTCAGCGGTTTTATGGGGGACGTTAAATTGACACAGACGTTTAATGGACGAAGACGATAACATAATCTCTTTCACATTAGTGTGAACAAACAACTGAAACAGAATTAAGAGACAATAAACGGATTCTGAGATCAATTAATAACCAACTCTTATTCATGATATAATAATGACAAAGGTGAGGTCGTTTAATAAAACCCTTGCTTCGAGAGAAAGGTTTATTATATAAGAGGGGTTTGTTTGAATGGGCGAGGTTATATTAACGTGAAAATCATCCGTGTACGTTATTGTACCATGTGGACATTGATTACATTGAAGCTGTCCTTTCATTGGTTGATACGTGTTTTTAGGAGAAGGAATACAATCTGATTGGTTGAAACTGTACATGCATCCTGGATTGCAGTCTATAAAAACACATGAATATTTTAAAATTGCAAATTGATGATTGTATGGCTGGTGTACATATTCAAGTTGTAGTTGGCAAAGCATTTATGACCTTTGATACAGTCACATTTTTGTCACATTTTTGGCTGTAACTGTACTATTGCGACAGGCAATGCAACGAATTTGCAAAATGCACAAATTGAGAAAGATAGCTTCTGACTCTGAAGAGTGACTCTTCACTTGACTCTGAAGATGACTACTGCTAAGGTTGTCGAAATGTCAGTCTACATCAATACCAACAGTCCTTCTCAGGATTCTACTAACCTAGACGATTTACATCCACAAACATGTTAACTCACAATGTCAAAAAGTACCTTTTATACATTCTTGTTCACTTACTGCACCATCATTACACGCAAGACAACGAGTTTGTTTCGGGTGTGGTTGATATGTAGAGATGGGACATTTTTCACATTACATACTTTCAAACGAAAAGAATGAACCAATGAAAAAATCTATAACGAAGTCATTGTAAATAAAACGTTGACTGACAATTGAAAGTTTACAGTTGATTTATTTATTGTATTTAATGTTTTCTGTCTCATTATGTAAGTTAACTATAAATCAAATGAAAAGTTAGAAAATTTTCAAGAGTATAAAAGCAACAAAAGTGACTAATCAAAACATTTTACACTCCTACAAAACAAATACTTACAAGAGCATTACTAGAAATGGCCACCTTTGGTATTGTGTCACAGCTTTCTGGAGCAAAAGCAAGATTGTCGATAGGTACAAAGTTGTTGTATGGTCTCAAAACAGCTTCCCACCAACCGAACTTTTCCTGATGAGCTGGTTCTTATTCCAAAATAGAGACATCGTCCTGTAACACACGAGGAAATGTAAGATATGTGTAAAGATTTTTGCTTTTTTATTTTTGTCTTAATTTATCTTTGTCGTTTCATCAAATTCTTATAAGTACTGCCTGGAGTAATAATGGCTATACATGAAAAAATTTCGTCAATTCTGATTGTTTTAGAACAGTACAATTTTTAGTAAATACCAAATAAAAAAAACCCCAACAAAATACCAGTTCAAATTTCTTTCTAAAAGTGCTCCTGATTGGTTAGTTAAACAAAGAAATAGTCATAAGAACAAAAGAAAATGAAACATTTCAAAGGCGGGAAAGTGAAATTATTGTAAACAAAAGCAATTACAATGATTGGGATAAGTTTTAAGTAGATATTAGTTGCTATTGAGTCTACCGTTCAGCATTTGCAAAATATTTCACTCCAAAAATATAAACACTGCTTAAAGTAGAGACCTTGTTTTGGCTGCATGTGTAGAAGGTATAGTGTTTTTTGAAAGTATCTTACGGAATTAAAAAATACGAGCCGGTCGATATTTATAATTCGCCGTCTGAAATGCACGCACGCTGACATTAAAAATCAACAGAATTAAGAAATTTTTTCATGTTTATTATTAAGCCCTTAATAACCGAGCTCGAGGTCTTTACGGAGAATTACCGGACCGATGTCTTTTTGTACAGGTCGATTACAATGGTCGATTACGGGAAAATAACGGACCGTCAAAAATGTTCCCGAGCCAATGAAAGCGTGCCATTTTGCCTGAAGTGATGCTTGCTATATAAAAATTATTTATAATTTACATGAAAAAATTTCTCAATTCTGTTGACTTTCAACTTCAGCGTACGCACATTAATTCAGCCGGCAAGTTCAACCATCGATCGACCTACTCTTATTTTTCAAATCCGTCGGATATTACTTTTCACATTACCATAGCTTCCACACACATCGCTAGAACAATGTATCTACTTTTAGCAGTGTTCATATTTGTATCCAGAAACATCTTTAAAACGGTGAACTTCAAACTCGCCAAAGAAAATTTACTTAAAACTTACGCCAGCCATAGTAAGTGCTTTGTTTACATTAATTTAACTTTCCCGCCTTTAAATTGTTTTATTTTGATTGGCTCTTAGACCACTTCTTTGTTTCAGTAGCCCATCAGGAGCATACTGGTATTTACGATAAATTGCACTGCTCTTAACCAATCAGAATTGAGAAATTTTTTATGTATATTATTAGCTATAAAACAATGCTATCTTACCAATACTGGAGCCTGTGGCATCATAACGGGGTAACAAATTTCGTAAGTGTGATGTACTTAGTTTCCAGTCAAAGTCATCATCGCCTTCCACGTTGCGCCATGGACATACAGTCGTTCCCAATCCCTTTTGAAAATCACAGCTTTCAACTGAATGAAAAAGAAATCGACGCGCAACTTAAATAAGGGATAAAAACGGTAACTTTAGCTATTGTAAAGAATATGGAAAAATGTAGATAACGAAGATTAAAAATGCTTTTTAATGAACAGAAGTAGACTGAATTTGTAACTTATACGTGTATTTTGATGAAAAGATTACTCAGTAACTCTGTTCTAGATACAAATTTTACAACTGCGATATATCTCGAAGCATATTAGTATATAAATATTTCTCATATTCAATAATTCAAAAATCATGAATAAAAAGTTTCAAACCACTACTCCATAAAATTAATAAAGAAAATCAACATTCAGTGTCTTCATTTCAATGTGCCAAATTGAATTGTGGAAAGACGTGCAAGAAATACAAATTTTTACAATTTAACATAGGAAATATCAGTACATTATCAAATCTAGCCATGCAAACACGGTATGTACAACTTATTAGGTTGGAGTTTGTTCCTTTCAATAGAGAAACAAAGAAACAACAACAAAAAAATTTATTTATAAATATTAATTTTTTAGCAATGAAATGTTACTACTGATGTTAAAAATTACCTTTTATACATTCTCGTTCACTCATTGCACCAACATTGATGGTACCTTTACCATCATTACAGGTAAGACAACGAGTTTGATTTGGAAATGGTTGATATG